CTACCCATGCTGAGACCCAGCCATCTTAAGCTCAGGGCTTCTCTCCTGCGAGGCAACCCTGTACATGTAGGATCACCAGGCCTACTCCCTGATATCCTGTGGACATCGGGGCTAGGAATCTGCTTTGCTCCGACTATGGAAATATATTGCCTGTGTCCCTGGAGTCCTGTGTGCATGTGCATGGTGCATTAGGCATTCTAAGCTTGCATGTACATGTGGCGGCTGGGTGGCAGGGGTGGGGGGCGTGCCCACACATAAATGGTAAATTATAAAAGTACTGCCTTTTTCAACCCCTTTCCCAATTACAAGGTTATTGTCTTTGAATCAACATGGCTTAAGTTTTTGTGTGGAAGAAACAGTGGCAATGAAGGCATGTTTAGGAATGCAAAGATTTGATTATGGTTGTTGTTTGTGGCAGTGTAGAGATATGAAATCAGGGCCTTGCACATGCCAGGCAAATACTATCCCACCGAGCTCTTCCCAGCTCCAGGAGTTGGGGTGATATACAGTGAAGGCTCACTCTGTGCTTCCAGAACATGCCTCTGTGGGTCCTAGGAGAATGCGCATTTCTGCAAGGCAGGCTGCTTCTCTGGAGGAGATGGCAGAGTCCTGAGTCATGGGTAAATTTAGTGAGATCTCCCCGACACCCATCTAACACTTTCCTTCTGTTTCCCATCAAGGGGGTTTTCATGCTCCTGGCTGCTCTCGATGGGGAATGTTCTGATGATAGGTGTGTGGAAAAGAACTTCCGGACCAACTCAAACACTGTTCTTTCTCCACATTTCAGGCCAATTGCTATCATTGCTCTATCAAGATGTCTGCCCAACTATTAGGCTGAGCTACAGGATAGATGAGAGGAATCCTCTGGGGAGAATTGCTATTTCCAGCTTTGACAGGCAGGGAGGGTAATGACTGGGGGGTGGGGTAATCTTCACACTACCTTTCCGTGTGCATACAGGGTGAGGAAATGGGGGAAGATGTCATTACAGGGTAACCAGGTCCCCAGAAATCCATGACTAAGAGCACAACTGTGGGAAGTCTGTGTTCTGACTTCAACTCACTAGTCTTGTGACCTTGGGAGGGTCCTTCTACATCCTTAGCCTTGGCATCCCCCACTTCCACCACTATGGCTATTCCGTGACTTGAAGGACACCAATGGCATATGACAGGAGGAATATGTGGTCCAGCACACTGTGTTACTGCTGTGGTGACCATCTCTCCATGCCTCCAAACTACAGCTGTTGTGCACTGCTGGCTCTGTCATGTACTTTCAGACTTTACCAGGAAGTGAAAAGGAAGCCATTTCTCATCATGCTCTTCTCGTGCTATCCCAGATCTGTTTCTTGTTCCTTTCTTTTCTAAGTTAGTCTCTGCTGTTTTACTTCTCTCCCCCGTTGGGACCTAACACCACCCTAGAGATTTCCCATCTGTTGGGAGCTTCCTCTAAGACTTCCAGTAGACTAAGTTATGACATGGCTTTGGAGCATAGGTTGGCAAACTTTCCCTGTGAAGGGACAGATAGTAACTATTTAGGCTCTGTGGGCCATATGGTCCCTGTTGCAACACTCAGCTCTGCTGTAACAGTGGGAAAGCTGCCACACACAACATGCAAACAGATGAATGTGGCTGTGTGCCAATAAAACTTTATTTATAAAAACAGGCAGTGGGCCAGATTCGGCCCCTGGGCTACAGTGTGCCAACTCCTACTTTTGAACATTTGGCTAGCCTTGGGAGGGCCCATTTTTCTTAGCAAAAGAATAAGGATCAACCTTAGACCTATGGTCACTACCCAAACTTTGTGAATTTTATACAATTCTAAAGTGTGGTTCCAAATAGAGAGCTATAGCCTGACATTCAGGTTGGATGACATAAATCTTTCAAGAATAGAAAATTCCTTGAGAAAGCCATGTGGGGCCCAAAGAGAAGTTCTACAATGTAGTAAGTAGATAAACAGTGTTTTAAGGTTCTTTCATAAAGTCACAGTCATGCCATTCATGACTGTAGGCTGAAGGCTAGATGCAGTTCATTCTTGGTGATCCTTACATTAGCCTTTGGGATGGAATCATCTCATCTTCCCAGACAGGAGGTTGAGGCCCAGGCAACTCACCCAGTTACAAAGTAGGAAAGAAAATCTGGAACTTAGTCCTGCTGTCTGAAGTCCTTTCTTCAGGAATTCACTAACTCCAGACCCCTCTAGTGAATCTTGAATCCACAGTTAACAGTGACTGGGGTGACATGATGCTGTCTAAAGATGATCGCCAAAGCTTAGGAGGGAAGGCCATTCTCATATCTTGGGACCCTGAGGCCTCAGCTAGATGCACATAGCTCAGTTTATTTCTCAGTGGAGTGGCACAGCCACCTAGCGACTCAAGTAGCTTCTGTGTGGATTGGTATCAGTGGAAGATGAAAACAACCTCAGTGATGGTCACTGCAGGTCTTCTCAATGTTAAAATTCCAAGGGCCTTCTAGAAAACGTGATTCTTCACAAGAAATTACCCTTTGGGGGGTTAATATGCAGGCAGCAGAGGCAATTTGGGATTAAACCCTAGCTTTTGTCTTCATACCTAATGAAAAGCAGGCCTAAAACACATCCAAAGTGACAGGCATTGAATTAAAGCATTTTGAGGTCTGCTTGCTTGGGAATAAATATATGGCTTTTTAAAACATCTGTATCTTTTTCCCTGATGTATTTTTAAGTTCAAAGGAAAAAAAAAAACCCTTTTTTTATTTTGACGTACGCTCAATTTTTAAGATGTTAGAGCTGATATGAATGGCCAGTGTTTCTTAGCTCTGCTACACACTTAGAAATAAAAAAAAGTCTTTCTTTATTCCTAATAGGAGCCTGGGAAGTGATATTGGCATCACCTCTGTTTTATGAGAAGGAAAGGGAGGCATTTACAAGCCCAGCTATGCGCTCAATGTGGTGATTTGAATGAAGTGTCCCCCACAGTCCGGGCATTTGAATACTTGGTCCCAAGTTGGTGGCTAATACGGGAGTCTTAAGAGGTATGGTCTTGTTGAGGAAGTATGTCACTGGGGATGGGCTTTGAGGTTTCTAACACTTGTGCCATTTGGAGTTCACTTTAGTTCCTGTTTGCTACTGGAGATGTGAGCCCTCAGCTCTCAGCTTACAGCCCCAGTTGTGTGCTTGCCTACAGCCACACTCCCCTGCTGTGATGGCGATGGACTCTTATCCCTCTGGAACCATGAGCCTCAAATAAGCCCTTCTTTCTATAAGTTGCCTTTGTCATGGTGTTTTGTCACAGCAATAGAAAAGCAAGTAATATCCTCAGGTTGGGTGCACAGTAGATGGCCCCAGCTGTCTGATTCAGAC